TCTGAAATTTCTTTTATATGAAAACCCAAATATTCATTCAACAAATATTTATTGAATATTAACTTTATGCCAGGCACAGTCTAAGGGTGTCATGTTAAATTAATTGAGTAGACAATGATCCCTGTCCTTGTGGAATTCACAATCTATTGGGAAAGATTACATATTATGAATAATATAGATATTGTGTAAGTTGCAATAATTAATTTATCTATAGGTTGAAAGGTGATAAGTGTTATGGTGATGAACTATATCAGAGTAAAGGGGATTGTGAATTCTGGGGTAAAGGTGAGCATTAGAATTTTAAATAGGGCAGTTTGGGTAGCCACACTGAGAAGGTCACACTTGAGCCAAGACTTCACAAAGATGAGGAATAAACCATATGGGTATTTGGGACAGAGAGTTCCACACAGAGAACACAGCTAGTAGTAATGTCCTAATGTGGGATCCTGGATGGAGAATGTGTTTAGGAAACCACAGGCTTCCAGCTAGAATGGAGTGAGACAGAGGAGGAACAGGAAGATGTGAGCAGATTTGTTATGGGGATGAGTGGACCATATGGGTCCTGAGAGACTCTTCCAAAAACTTTGCCTTTCACTCTTTTGGTAAAGGGAGCCACTGGAGAGTTCTGAGCAGACAGGGAACATAATCTCACTTTTGTTTAAGAGGATTTCTCTGTCTGCTCTGCAGAGGGGCATGAGGAGAATCAGAGAGACCATTTAGGAGGATATCGCAATACTCTAAGGAGAAGTGGAAGTGGCTCAGGTGAAAGTGATTTCAGTGGAGCTAGTGAGAAGTGGTCAAATTCTGGATATATTTTGAAGGCGGAATCATCAGAGCTGGTGAAGGATTGGATATAGAACATGAGAGAGAGAGAAAACAAGGATGATTCAGGTTTTCGCCTTGAGCAAGTAGAATTGCTCTTGACAGACTTAGGGAAAGGTAAACGTAGAGCAGATTTGTGGGCAAAGGTTATGGACATGCTGCTTTGAGATGTCTACTAAGTGGATTTGTTACAAATAAAGTACATATTTCAGTATGAAAGCAAAAAGTGGAAGTTTTTCTCTTGTGGATGGTATTTAAAGCTAAAAGCTTAGATAAATAACCAAATGACAGAACCCTGGAGGAGAATATCTAATTTAAATTATGTCTAATTTCAACCTAATGTTTCTTTAAACCCTTCCCTGCCATTCATGCTAGCACAGCCTTTGGCCAAGTTGTGTCTTTGGATAAATTATTGTCTCTTTCTATGGCAGAAAACACCAAAGGATGCAAGATTTATTCAAGATGGCATTGGAGAGGGTTAGGAAGTTTTAGTTAAGTGGATTTGATTTCTGGTCTGGAATTTGGTTCTGTGGTATCATTTGGAGCTGTAAATTAAATGATAGAATGACTAGGATAATTGAATGAGAGATATATCTTCAGAGAAGTCCATATTAAACAATTATGCAAATCATAAAGTCTTAACTATGAGCACAGAGTTTATATGAATTGAATAAAGGGATTTAAAAAGACTTCATTGAGCTGCATGTATGTATAGCATAATTATTAATTTCATAATTATCTTATTTTATCCTTCCTTCAGGTACAATATTAGGGCTGGGCAATGTGAGAAATATATAAGAAATATAAGGGCTAGAGCTAACCCTATATATGCAATTTTTGCAGAGCACCATTAAGCAAGTGATAATTTTGTGGTGAGCTTAGGTAACTTCTTAGCTATATACTTTTTAATATGAGATTTATCATAAATGAGTTTATACATGGAAATGTGTAAGTTCATAGAATTGCAGGATCACGCTTTTAGTGTACTTATCATGTGATCACAAGTAAAATTACCAGTGATGACATCAACAGACTTAATTTATTTGTATTATAGTAAAGGCGTACAGAGTGGATATCAAATTGGTTCATCTATTCATGATCAACCTCAAAAAGAAAAAGAGTTATGTTTCTAAGACTAGTTCTTTTGATCTTGTCATTTCCACTTTTGGGAATACTTCTCAAGAAATTATGTCAAAATGCAGATTTTTAAACTCATATACTCATCAATATTGATAGTTTACTTTCATAGAGAGAGGTAGAAAATATACCAAAATGCAAACAGTAGTGATCTTTGGATTTTGGGAGCATATGTAGTTTTTCCAAAGGTACTTTATGCATTTATCAGATAATTTATATAAAATGTCAATATATCAATGCTTACCTTGAGTTTGGACAATGAGCCAGAGTACAGAAAGCAGGACCCAAAACATGCTGGCTATGGCAGGTAGCTGAGAAGTCCCATGCAGCATGAAGATGTGATGTCCTCAGCTCTCCAGTTTTATCATCTACTTCTCTTTGGAGATTGGAAAAGAAAATAAAAACTTTTTTCTTGTGACATTGGGGGATGCTTCTTAGTAGTGTTAGAAAATTGCCAAGAGATTGCAGTGTCAAGATCGTGAGAATGTTCCTTATTTGCTAGAGGTTTTTATTTCTGTGGTTACAGCTTATTAAGAACTCACATCTGGAGAGATGTTTGCCTGGGTGTTCCTGTAGATTTGGGAATGTATGAACTGGGACTGAGGTGCCCATGTTTATATTTACACACTCAATAGACTAAACCATCGCTATTGCAGTTCAATTCTCTTATAGAAATTGATTCACAAATGTAGAAAACATATCGGTATTCTGTACACATTGTGAGAAACTGGCACAAAGAACACAGAACCTAAAATACAAGCACAAGGGAACGTCATACAAGCCAAGATATTGTAAAAAGGGGATGATGGTAATATTAACTATCTCAAGCTTCTTATAAAATTCATATGAGGTTATTCATACACACACGTGCACACAAATAAAACTGTAAAGAAATGTGCAAATGTAAATTACTATGACACTGTTAACCTCAACCAAACTATTCTACATATAAAATATGTTTATAGACTAATAACAGAAAAATAACAATTTTTATCATAAAATTGACACATTTTCATTATTATAAATATTTTTAAAAGTGTGTTGAGAAAAAATGTTGATCACTCAATGGCCCAACATCAAAAAATGATGTTAACGTTTTGACAATTGATTTTCATCTTTTTTTATGCACTAATAAAAGGAAAGAAAATTAATTTTATTTCACAAAGGGTTTGGGAAGCTGATATTTCTTTGCATAGCATTATAGCATAAGCGTTTTCATAATATTGAATATGACATTATTTTAATGACTTTAGAATATTGCATTATGTGCATACGTTACATGTGCATTGTATGTACATGTTATATGTGTGGTTGTGCATATTTATTTGATTGAATTTCTGGTTACTTTTATAGGACAGATTCCTAGAAGTGGTATTATTTAGTTTAAAAGAGTAAATCAGTTTGAGATAGTTGGCATACATTGCTCCAGTGCTTTTTAGATAGTTATGCCAAATTAAATTTCCATTTATAGAGTTGTCCCAATCTAAAAACCTATGCTCTCTAACTGCTAAGCTTATGTCTGACTGATACATTTGGGAATTCCGGAGCATCTGATCGTTAAGTTTAAAGTCACCTCTCTGTGTCTATTTTTCCTTTGAATTAATAGAGTTTTCTATAATTTTGTATTTATTTTGCTGGCTCAGAAGATAAGCATGCTACTTATATCCTTTACTGGTTACCATTAAAATTTTAACAAAGTTCATTAATACATGTACCATCAAATAGTGAAAGAACCCTGGAATAGTTTAACTCTTTTCAGTATCCCATCTGTTGCTATTAAGTATTTTAGTTTTGTCATGATTTGATCCCCTTGGTACTCATTATTACCTTTTGTGTGTTTTGTACAGGTGATTCTGTTTGAAATTACTCACTTCTTGCCAAGTTCTTTGCTCATAGATCCTTTTAGCATCCATTCTTTTAAAAAATTATTTAAGAGTCTAAGGCCCAAAGGGAAGAACATATAGCCCAGCAGCTGCCGAGGTGAGCCGAGACCAGATGCTTGTCGCACCGATTGGTGTGGCACTGGGGATCAGTCTAAGGCTCTGTGGGGGAAGGGAAGTGCACACAGCTCAGCAGGCACCAAGGTGAGCTGAGACCTGCACAGCACCAGGGGCTCATTCTACAGCCAATGAAAGCTAGAACAGAGCCAAAGTGGTATAATATAGATACTGCCACACCTCTGTCACCACAAGGACAGTTCACCACCACAAAAGCAGCCAGGGCCACTCTACAGGCAACCTGCCACTCACTTGACTACACTGATATAAGAAGAGTCACCAATAGAGCCTGCAAACAGAGGAGGAAATCTTGATCCTCACAGCCAACCCCAGAGTAACAGAAGAAGCAAGTCATCTACCGGATGACCAAACATCAATGAAAAAATACTAGAACTACAAACAAACAAGAGGATATGACACCGCCAAAGGAATACAGTAATGCTCAAATTTCAGACCCCATAGAACAGGGAATCCATGAAATGTCTGAAAAAGAATTCCAAGCAATGATCTTAAGAAAGCTTGAAGAAATAAAAGAGGACTCAATTAGAGAACACAAGGAAGCAAGAAAAAATATCCAGAATGTGAAGGAGGAAATTTACAAAGAAATTAATACCTTAAAAAAGAATGTAGAACTCCTAGAAATGAAAGATTCACCTATCAAAATAAAAAATACATCAAAGAGTGTAAACAACAGAGTAGAGCAAGCAGAAGAAAGAATTACAGATCTCAAAGATGGTCTTTTCAAAATAACCCAGACAGATAAAAAAAAAGGGGGGAGAAAAAAGAATTAACAATAATGAGGAAAATCTGAGAGACATAGCAGATAACCTCAA